TACATACACTAGTTATGTATCCAGTGTATACATACACTAATGATGTATCCAGTATATACATACACTAGTTATGTATCCAGTATATACATACACTAATGATGTATCCAGTATATACATACACTTGTTATGTATCCAGTGTATACATACACTAATGATGTATCCAGTATATACATACACTAGTTATGTATCCAGTATATACAAACACTAGTTATGTATCCAGTATATACAAACACTACTTATGTATCCAGTATATACATACATTAATTATGTATCCAGTATATACATACATTAATTATGTATCCAGTATATACATACATTAATTATATATCCAGTATATACATACACTAGTTATGTATCCAGTATATACATACACTAATGATGTATCCAGTATATACATACATTAATTATGTATCCAGTATATACATACATGTACACTAGTTATGTATCCAGTATACACATACACTAGTTATGTATCCAGTATATACATGCATTAATTATGTATCCAGTATATACATACACTAGTTAAGTATCCAGTATATACATACACTAGTTATGTATCCAGTATAAACATACACTAATTATGTATCCAGTATACACATACACTAGTTATGTATCCAGTATATACATGCATTTATTATGTATCCAGTATATACATACACTAGTTATGTATCCAGTATAAACATACACTAATTATGTATTCAGTATATACATACATTAATTATATATATCCAGTATATATACATACACACACTTATTAAATATCCTTGAATCCGGACGGTAAAATTCCAGGTGAAAACGCCCGGATTAACGAATTTCCGGATTAACCAATCAAATACTAGACGTTCTCAACAATATGCTTGTCCTGCAGTCGGGATTCCCGTTTTAACAGTGTCCGGTCTAACGAGTTGCCACAACATGAAACAAATTGAAGACGATCACATTAGTGGACATAAGTAGTGAGGTGCCTTATTTTAGTACAGGCAGATTATCAATTAAGTAAGGGCGTTCATTATGCTGGTCACGGTGTGCATATAAGTTTCATCAGTATCGTCAAATGTTGCTGCAACATCCCCAAACAGACGCCTTTAAAGTCTACTTACTTACCTTTGTCATACAGGGTTGTTCTCACGCTCATCCGCCATTCATCTTTACCAGGGGCCGTATCATAAGCTCATCTGTATATAATACCCATTCATATCTTATTTCGATAAGTTTGCTTTATTTTTTATATTATCCCAAGAACGCTGAACTAAGTGCGCGGTGGTATGTTCTCATCAACGTCTCAGCGACTTCAACACAAGGGGATGCTGTTCGCCTATCCACATATCAGTGTTAATCTGTATATGGCTGACTAAACCCTTACGAACTCAATCTGCCTCGGGACACGTTGACATGCTCTATATCCTCTGAATTTTGTGCTAAATTTTTTCTCTCATGTTATCTCTTTGGAATGCAAAAGTGTAGGCTGACAAAAAATATTTTCTCAAATCAATTATACGTGTCCTTTAAGCGTATCTGCTTTTATAGATTTGGGGATCAATTAGGAATGTGATCCGTTATTTGATCGATAAGTCAGGGAATGATACTGTGGGGATATTGAAATAGTTTGTATTCCTCCAGCGGGACACGAGCGTCAATTCCCCTATTGTTTCTCTGTAGGAGATAAGACATGCTTGTTGAGAACCGCACACAACGGAGTGGGTGTAATTTTACCTTGCTCTCTCACAGAGGTAGGTAGAAGCTACATACAACGGCAAAGACACAGCGAACACTATCTCCAAACTTCATATAACGAACTGCAAAGGTCAGCTTTGACGAGACCGGGGTCTTTGTCAGGCTGCAGCGATACTTCATGACAAAGACGTCGGCTTACATTCCACAACGCTGCATAAAATTAACAATTTATGAACACACATGCCTTGTATTACAAGGATCATGTGGCGGAACGGGAATGATTATTTTTTTATAGATAATCGTACTAATAGGTTCTAAACAGAATTGAATATTTTCACGCTGTGAAAAGGGTGAACGAGAATTGAGGACCGGTGACCTAAAAATTTGTAAAATACCAAAGTAGTGAGCGGACGTATGGCCCGGGGGTGCGTCTCCTGCACTGGTCGTCAGTAGGGGGTAGTACCTGGCAGTGACGAAGGAGGGTCTCCCCCAGGTAGAAGGCATATTCTAACGGTAAAGGGATACGCACGGGTTCAGCACACTGATTAGAGTCCACCCGTATGGACCTTTTGACACCCAAGGAAACCCATCAGCCATTCTTAAGCATTTTCCGGAACAGAATATTTTTTTATCGCGGGTACATAAGCGTTGTGAAACCCAACAGTGGTTATAGCCTTGTGCTAGGTATTTATATATGTATGTACTGCGTTACCTGTGTGCGGCCGTGCCCCCACCCCCACCAGTGTCCCTCCCCCCGGGCTGCGTGTGACGGCAGGGCTAACTGTTTTACTACACCTCTCTGATCATGTGACGTACGTGGCCCGCGAGTGAGATCTGTGAACTGTGGTCGGCTGGCTGTAACGCCGCTCACCTGACTAGTAATCCAGGTGTGAGAGGTCTGAGTGGCCGGCAGGTCTACACAGGTGAGACAACAGGTAGACGCCACAGGAACAGACTACCTGCACAGGTGAAGGATCCGGAATTATCAACGCTATACATGGAACACAATACTACCGACATGACACCTGCATCTACAGGTAAGATGCGCTTCCAATATGTCTACAGATCTATAATCGTGCCACATGCTGTCTGTGCGACTCGCATGGATTTCGTATGACAATGTTTACATATTCTACTGTTGTTGAATGACTATAGGTACGTTTCTGCTCTAGACGTGAGATTCCATACATTAAATTTCATAAATCCGACAGTCCAGCGTTCCAAGCACGTGGAACAAACTAAGCTATACGGCGACAGTCAAGCATGCAACTTTCTCACATCAATGAGCTTATCTCCGAGTCTACATGCTGGGAGGTATATGTGAACTTTTGACAGTTGAGAATCACATTGAGTTATAAAGTTGGATTTATAGGCTACAGTTCGGCTCGAGAAAGTCGGTAGAAAATAAAGACTCTTTGTCTCGCTAGCTCGCCGAGAGACAACGATTGAAACTCTTTCGCTTGTATTATTTATATTGTCAATGATTAAGATCACGTAGAGTTTCTCCTGTCGTGTACTACGAGGAGCATAATACCTGGTCTGGATGCGCCGTCAGGATATGGATGTGCCGTTGACAGGTGACATGTTTCTGCTAATTAGACAGGAATATATTACCATGTACATGATCAACCCGCAGCTGACCGCCCATGTTAACTTGTTATTTGTTATCGGGTATTTGGAATACGACAATATGTCCAACACTAATTTTCACCATTGATGAAATCATCATCATCATCATCATCATCATCATCATCATCATCATCTACTACTATTGTAACTATCATCATCATCATTATCATAATCGTCGTCGTCATCATCGTCATCATCATCACCCCCCGGTGAATCCGAGCAAAATGGACACCCAATACACCCTACTTGTAAAAGCCAGTAAAATCGGATGGTTGCGATGTGTGACCGTGCTGATTTATGACATTGTACTACGACGTCGTGGATAGGTGCTCATGTTATCAACCAATGGTTTATCTGGACTCAACTCTACACAGATTTCCTAGATATAGATGTGAAACAACTTCTACTCCGTCTATCCAACTTCATCTAGTCGATACATATTTCATTAACAGTAAAGATAACCAACATAAAAACATCAAATATTATTTTCTACGACAATAGCATTTACACAAAGATATATTCGCCTCTATACAGACAACCCTTCAGAAATCCATGCTTGTCGTAAGAGATGACTAAATGGATCGGGTGGTCATGTCGTTGATTGCATGCCATCGTATCCCATTGCGTAGATCGATGCTCAAGATGTCAATCACTTGATTGTCTGGTTCATACTGGATTATTTACAGACCGCCGTCATGTCGTTGGAATATGCGGCATAAAACAACATACATATACAATTATAGTTATAATTCCGGGTAAGAGAATATGTCCCCGGCATATGAGAAACGAGTAAAATATCTGGTTTAATTTCCATCTTCAGGTAGACAGTATATATGCTTATCTATTTAATCCCAGTAGAATGAATATACGCTCTACCACTGACCTGAAGGTTTGTGAACGGGGCGAAATAGGAATGTGCCGACGGGGATACCTAATAATGTCATGTATATTTAGCGTCTACGAAACACGATATATTTCTTCATGTTTTGTCACATTGTATCCGACATCACGCATATTAATAAATTAAACCCTCTTTGTAAAAAGAACGCCTCTCAAGTGTTTTACAGCACTTACTGATGACAGCTATGGTATAATATATCAACATACAACGCGAACATATATCCGAGTTCGTTTTTGTAGCTTTTACGATCCATCTTTCCGTACCACCCACAAACTAATTCGACGGAAACTGACGAAGGCGGGCTGGGTTATGGCCGACTTCTTCGCTACGTTTATTTTGATCTCGTTTGATTGATAATGATAGATTGAGAACTTTGAATGTCATTATATGCGATATAGTTTTGTCAATGAATTTTCCGTCTGACCTGAGCCAGGTGTCTAAAGAGGCACTTGAACAGGGCACAGCATTCCTTCTTGTTGGTCTTAATGAACAGCAAGGCTTTCTGCAAACTGAGGTGATGTCAACCGTAGCATTTGGACAGCCCCACCCCCACCGCCCCGAGCCTAGCCTAGCTGCGACTACCGTGTCCCCTCATTTGTTCAGCGTTCTTGATCAGCTGTTCCCCATGTTACTTGTAACTACGGGGAGACCCTACAGAAAGTTTTTTTTCTCTCAAGAAAAGCAATGGCTACAAACCATGAAATATTGTTGAAAAATCCACCCCTCTTTCACCCTCATCGGTGACCTCAAAATATGTAAACGTGATTTAATCGAACGTGGCCTTTGAAATAGGATTTCAGTTTGAAGTGGCAATAGGGGAGGAGGTAGGGTGTTGAGGGTGATTTGGTGTTGAGGGGGTAGGGTGTTGAGGGGGTAGGGTGTTGAGGGGTAGGATCTTGAGGGGTAGGGCGTTGAGGGGTAGGATGTTGAGGGGGTAGGGTATTGAGGGGTAGGATGTTGAGGGGTGGGGTGTTGAGGGGTGGGGTGTTGTGGGGGTAGGGTGTTGAGGGGTTGGATGTTGTGGGGGTAGGGTGTTGAGGGGTATGGTGTTGAGGGGTAGGGTGTTGAGGGGTAGGGTGTTGAGGGGTAGGATGTTGAGGGGGTAGGGTGTTGAGGGGGTAGGGCGTTGAGGGGGTAGGGTGTTGAGGGGTAGGGTGTTGAGTGGGTAGGGTGTTGAGGGGGTAGGGTGTTGAGGGGGTAGGGTGTTGAGGGGTGTGGTGTTGAGTGGGTAGGGTGTTGAGGGGTAGGATGTTGAGGGGGTAGGGTGTTGAGGGGGTAGGGCGTTGAGGGGGTAGGGTGTTGAGGGGTGTGGTGTTGAGTGGGTAGGGTGTTGAGGGTGTAGGGTGTTGAGGGGGTATGGTGTTGAGGGGTATGGTGTTGAGGGGTAGGGTGTTGAGGGGGTAGGATGTTGAGGGGGTAGGGTGTTGAGGGGGTAGGGTGTTGAGGGGGTAGGGTGTTGAGGGGGTAGGGTGTTTAGGGGTAGATTATTGAAAGGGTGTGGTGTTGAGGGGGTAGGGTGTTGAAGGGTAAGATCGTTAAGTGTGTAGGGTCTTGAGGGTGTTGAGGATGTATTGCGTGTTGAGGTTGTAGAATGATGAGGGTGGAAGGTCTTGAGAAGGTAGATTATTGAGGGGTATGGTGTTGAGGGTAAGGGTCTGTGTGTATTTGGTTTGGGAGGGGTGGTGGTGGGGGTAGGGGGGTGGGGGGTGTTTAGTGCATGACAGACATCGACAGGTGATAAAGTGGCTCAGAGAAGAGGCTTTTAGAATGATGACCCCTGCTATGCCAGTATTTTGGTATAAACCATGATGTACCCTTTGTGCAGGAGGGTGGTTTCTACGAAAACCTGCAGGTGATACGAGGGGGGAGGGTGGGTTGTGAGGGTCGGCAATGTGAACAGCCTGCTGCATCAGCACTATAAAAGATGTATTTGAATGTACCCCGTCGACTATATCTCCGTGGTGATAAAACACAAGACCGGTTTCCACATGGGAGCTCCAAACGAGCATTAGAACCTCATCCACAAAGCTCTGCTCAAACAACACTGACTTAAAGCTGACTATCTTTGTCCGACTCCACAATTATCTGCAGTTAATGAAAGACTGCTCACGAAGCATTTAAGAAATAAACGGGTCGAATGCTTTCAAGAAACATAATTTGATCCCTTTGTCAGTGTGGCATACTTGAAGCTCATTGTTGCGTTCCTTCCGTGGCGATGGAGGCTGAATACGGGTAGTTCAGAGCGCTAGTAATTACAGAAGGTGATAAAATCTCGACCCGTCTACAACTAAAGCCTTCCACAGCACGGGTGGAATTGCGACGTAACAGAACTGTCAGTTCGGGTGCAGTATTGTGGCGAGGAGTGCTGTACTGCCGGTACCACACAAGACAATGACGGCAAGAGGAGGTATGTACTAAGATGAGTATTAAATATCCAGTAACCGGGCCCAATGTGTTTTACAGGACCATGATCGCCTGTATATCATGCATAGCAGTGCACTCCGTCATATAGGTTATGACGTGAATATGAGTCTGTTTAATTGTTGGTCAAAAGTGTTGATGTCGCTGGTGTCAAAACCATAATCGTCTTCATGACCAGTTCACACAGGATATGCTGACCGTTTCATGAATCTATCAGTGGGAATGGTGTGATGACGTTACGAGAAGGAAAGCGTGTTTTTACCAGGAATGTGCACGTGTTCTATTCGTCGTAGAAATGCAGTGTCGGGGCAAGGTCAGGGTCGAATTTGCCAGTCGTCAAGGACGGTAGATCAAGGTTGCATCAAGACATTGGGATTACAAATCTCACAAAAGACGTCATCCCATATACGTTAGTTGTTTCAAACATGCCATAAATTAAGGTTAGAGCAATCGCGCATGGGCAGAAATGTAGCACGTGCAGGTAAAAATACCAGTTGGTCTGAAATATTGTAAATGTAGTCATTAATGTGTTTGGTCTCGTGTTTATAAATAATGATATGAATCCATTGTTTTGTCCAAACTCCGCGTCTGCATTGGCTGTTGTCATTACCTCGTCCATGCACCGACGTTGATTACAATCAACAGTCACAGACTGGTAAACACTAATGGCCGCTGCAACTGCACGTCGCGTATTGACGTGATCCTCATTGATATCAACATCAATATGGGCTGGTTTATCACAGGCGACAGAAATATCCCGTTACGGTTCAGAAATAACGGTAATTACCTTGATGCTACTTTCAACAAATGACCCCACGCGAGGGACACGCCTTTATAGAGATGTTAATTCCATAATCTACCAAATCATTGACATTGTCCGTTATCTTAACTTAATCACGTGACCAACCTATCTACATCATCTACATCTTCAGGAACTCAGACACTCTTCCAGAATCCCGCTTGACGTTTGCAGCACGTGGCTGTAATTACACCTCCTGTTGTCCCCCAATGTCGATATCGACAGTAGCACGCGCGCGTTCTGTTGTCATCTTGAAGACAATAGAGAGCCACGTTCTTCCCTGGTTGTAATCAATGACAGGAAAACATCAGTGAATAGTGCGGTCCACGAACAAATAAAATGAGATGTGAGTGTTCAAGAAAACCAATCGTCTCCATCCCGAGTTTGAGCTATGATACCATAGGGTTCCCAGTGTTGATAGGACATTGTGGATTATATTGATGGAATCATGTGGACCTTGCTTTTGTCGGTCACCGAGGTTAAAGACGCAATGATGATGAAAATATTGGCCTGGTATTATATTCCAATAAACCGTTTGAATTAATGAGAAACATCTCAGACAAATATTTGCAGTCGGAAAGAGTCTCTTGGATTAGTTTTATTATTCGTATCAATAACAAGGTTGTTGGAATGGATGCTGACCAATATCACATGAACCTGTTACTGTCACGAGTTGATCAATATATCAAATATAAGATTAATCGAGTTTGTCATAATGCGTTATTGTGTCATGATCTTGTTCAAACAAGTGGGTCGTTCCTTGTGGCGTGACCGCATTCTTACACGTAGGTGAAACATTTCAGAAACCGACAGAACAACCATTATATCCGGCGAGCTGTTAAAAACTGTAATAATTACAAACAGTCCGTTGAACCATCTTTTTACCGGTTCAAGAAAATAAACAAATAAACAACAAACAAATTCTTCTTCCCTGTCCCCTGATTAGGCCCCAACGGGACAAGACAGCCATTTCTCACGGTTGTGTTTGCGCGATGTGACCTGATGTTCCTGTAGTTTGTTCAGGGCAGTGTTGAGCACACACCGGTGTCAGTTTGCGTGTGTTGTATCAATAACGTTGGAGCCTGAGTCGTGCCTGGCGCTAATATTGGACTCTTGGGTAACAATGCATGAATACAAACCATCACACAACCCATTTCCAACAATCTAATTGTTACGCATTCTCAGGTTTCACGCGTCTCAATTCTATAACTTGTCGTCCAGGGGAACACAGGGTCGCTTAGTCAGGTTAGGTGGGAGTCAGAAATGAATTCAACGTAAGTCATAGGAAGCGGATAATACTGACGTTGTTGTAGATTGTGTCCGAGTACAACTGACTCTCATGTGATCTGACCATGAACTGTTTGGTGTTGCCGGTAGTTGCTGGTATTGCTGAGAGGTAGGTGGACTTCATCATTTCTATCGACATTTTACAAAGATGAGTGTGGCGGGTAAGACGTTAAGCAAGTATACCTAAAGTCAGACAATATTCAGCGCCAGGTCCGTATCTCCAGCACTGTGAGCACATGGCGACTGAAGGCTGACGCATGTTTACTCTTTTCCCAAACACCTCGTGTCATCACGGATTTTCAGTTATCCATTTAGATAATTTCAGCCGCTATGGTGCCTTTTATGTCCAATTGAATCTGTTTCGGCGGAAAATCGAGACTGGTTATTGTCTGGCGTTGGCGTTATGTATTGGAGAATGTCCGAAATCTCGCGATTATTTTCGCACGAACAAGCTTCACGTGCGAAAATAATCGCGGGATTGAGGAATTTCTCCTACTTAAAACAAAGTGCGATCACGTTAATGTCCCAAACTAATCTTCAAGTTATATTCACTATACTATGCTATGCTATGGGTTTGCTCGTCACGCCGAAGACCCGGGTTCGATTCCCGACATGGGTACAATGTGTGAAGCCCATTTCTGGTGTCCCCCGCCGTGATATTGCTGGAATATTGCTAAAAGCGGCGCAAAACCATACCCACTCACTCACTATGCTATGGGAGGGTGACCGCTCTTGTTTAACTATGGGAGGGGAACCTTTCAAGGAAAACTATGGGACGATTTAGTACCCATACTCAAACTATTAGAGTGTTAGCAAAATTATTGCGTCTATCCAGCTGTCATTTAAGTTCACGTAACTTTGTTATAAATGTTGAGATATCCCTACACGTTTAGGTACGTTACATTTACTGTGTGCACGAACATAACTACTGCTTAACAAGGAACATTCCAAAGTTAATCAATGGTCATGTTTATTGACCTCGTGTTATTTCTGGAACTTTTTGGTACAAAACATATTAAGAGATGCAACGGGGCCTCATCCTTTAAAACTAGGGACCGACCATTTAAGTTGCTCTGGGTGTATTTTGCTTGGCTATTTGGATACTTTTCTCATTGCTTTCAGACATACAATGTTTTTTTTCTCTTAAAGGGAAAGTCGAATAATTTTCAGGACACCTAACATGGCCAGAGAATTGTTTCTTTCTGTGAAAACCTGAGGTCAATTTTCCCAAGTATTTCCTGAATTTGAAATGTGTTATACTGCAAAACAGGTCAATTAGCCGTACAGAACGGAGATAGTAAACTAACATATAGTCTCTGAACTGAATTTTTTTTACAGTTGTCATAGTTATTAAAATATAAGAAAAAAGAACCCATTTTCGGATACTGCAGTAATATAGAATTGTCAAATATTGTAGACTTGCATGGGCTATATTGGATATATAACTTTATGACTGACTAGGAGATAGGCTAGACTTTAGATTGCATGCTTGGTTTGAATAAGTCAACGAGAACACCCACACAGTAATACCTCCGACCCCACCCCGGGCAATGTCGACCGGATCAAGCCCCACCTCCGGGCAATAGCGACCGGATCAAGTGAAGTGACCAGGAGTTAATTACACTGATAATATTGTCGTTGTTAGCGACAATACGCCAACACGCCACGACCGGTCGCTCTTGATCTTTCAATAACCTGGCGACTACGTAACATCACGTCAGAGCGGGGTTGTCTCCCCATTGTAGTTTGGCCTGAAGGGGACATGGCGATAAATGTTTTAAATGGCTCGAAATCGGTGTTTAGCAAGCGTTCTGATCTTCCCGCTACTACCTGTGGTTACTGTAATTGGTTGAGCAACATATTTAGAGTGTGAAATGGGCGTTCGTGGATTAAATCAACAGGGCACCGGTTGAGATGATGGTGTGATAGTGGCAATTGTCTGTTTTTATGGTAAGTGACCTGCGGCTCTGGGTTAGTAATAACTCGAGTTCGTGTGATCCCCGTCTCTCTCTCTCTCTCTCTCTCTCTCTCTCTCTCTCTCTCTCTCTCTCTCTCTCTCTCTCTCTCTCTCTCTCATTATCTCACACTTTCTCTCTCATTCTCTCTCACTCTCTCATTATCTCGCTTATTCGCTCACACTCGCTCTCTGTCTCTCGCTCTCTCATTATCTCACACGTTCTCTCTCATTCTCTCACTCTCGATATCTCTCTCTCATTATCTCGTTCATTATCTCACACTTTATCTCTCATTCTCTCTCTCACTCTCATTATCTTGCTCATTCTCTCACACTCGCTCTGTCTCTCGCTCTCTATCATTATCTCGCTTACTCTCTTTGCCTCTCTGTGTGCCTCTCTCTCCCTCATTATCTCACTTCCCCCTCTCTCTCTTTCTTTTTTTCTTTCTCTCTCTCTCTCTCACTCTCTGTCTCTCTCGTGTCCATTTCACCTCACCTCATCTCCTGTCCACACCCATATGCCAATTATGTTTAAAGGAATTAAGTAGCTACATGCAGAAAATAACTAAAACGTTTTTTAAGGGGGAAAGTCGACAATTAAGCAGTCTGTTGCTATATAACGTAGTCAGATTGCCCACCTTACAACAATAACAGGGGTGTTGTGATGAATGCCACTTTACATTTATTGGTATCCATTAAGACGCTCCGTGCATTTAAACACCCGAACCTACTACTTTCTATTGGTGTCTGTTATATCTTGTAGTAGGAGTCACGCCATATAACAAGCAGGGCAGCGAAAACCTAGCCAGGTCTCCATACATTATGAAGGGGAATCTGATATGTGTTGGGCTATATCCCTTACCGACCTTTTGTTTTATCGTGTTCTAGGAGCCGCGACTGACTCTGAAACAAAGACTGTTTATCAATAATGATTAAGAAGATGAGATTAATAATTTAAATATATGCATCTAAAATAATTCAATATATAAAAAAAATAAAAGTAAAATGTGAAATAATATTTAATCAATATCTTCATTCGTTTATATTTTAGCCACACGAGCTTATCATAAAATGTTTAATTGATTTGTTTCAAAACATGTGTTATACCTATCACTTTAAAAGTGAATTATACATTTAATATCAGTGTAGCCATGGCAACGGGAATCGATTACAAAAGATCGATGGAGATTGTGTTATCTTTTACCTATACAGTCGTGTTTTCTGCTCTGGGTAGGACAGGTTCCAGTGTACCTGTTCCAGCTGTCCCTGGGGGGTCTAACTGTTCCCCGTAATTACTAGCTAATTAGGACAGGTAAGTTATTACATAGGTAACAGCTCGGTAGAGACAACGCCATGGCTGTAAGAGAGTGGGGATTTCATCGACTATATGATATAACTTGAATGATCCAGGTACGGAGATTTCAGTATAAGCAGATTCAGCTGCAGGTGTTGGCTAAATCAGCTAGACAGGCATATGCTGAGTCAAATACTCGTATATATGCTAAACCAGCTATAGGCAGATTCAACTTCACGTGTAGTCAACTACAGAAAAGGTTATATTCTGTATCAGCTACGGGTATGGGCTGATTCAGCTACAGGTTATAGCCTAACTCAGCTACAGGTATAGCCTTAGTCAACTACATGTATAGGCAAATTGAGCTACAGGTGTAGACTAATTCAGCTACAGGTATATTCTATATCAGCTACAGGTATATTCTATATCAGATACACGTACTTGCTAAGTCATAAACTCCCGGTATAGACTAAGGCAGCTACAGGTATATACTAAGTCACATCAAGCTGACACGCCGTGATATAACTGAATACTGTTCAAAGCGGCGTTAGTCCCCACTCACTCCGGATCCAGTTAGTGTTTTGGCAAGGTGTTGTTATACATAGTTATCTCTATTTTCTGTTATCAGTTTATTTTATTAAACTGTTACCTAGGCGGCCGCAATGTTGGATGTGGCCTTTCATCGATGACCATTGATATGACATCTACCAACGCTTGAAAACAAGACCCAAGGAGATTCGGGGTAGAATGGGTCTTCAGCAACCCATGCTTACCGTAAAATGCGACTATGCTTGTTGTAAGAGGCGACTTACGGGATCGGGTGGTCAGGCTCGCTGACTTGGTTGATGCATGTCATCGTATCCCAAGTGCGTGGATCGATGCTCATGATATCAATAACTGGATTGTCTGGTCCAGACTCGATTATTTACAGACCGCCGTCATATCGCTGGAATATTGCAGAGTGCAGCGTTAAACAACAAACAAACAAACTTACAAAACTTAGAAAAGAGCACCTCGAATGAACATCGTGTATCCATTACGTTCGAGATGACGAATGCATGCAATATGTAAAGAAAAACAGGTGTTACACGCGAGGCAATAACACAAACTGTATAGTATATATTTTCATCTCCGCCAAGCTACGCCTTACACTTATACACAAGGCACTTTGGAAACTCGAACCACAAATAACATCTTTAACGACCAAAACATAACCCTACTTTCTTCCCCCTGCGTTCCCTTTCATCAAGAGACAAGTGAAGGTAACGTAGCTGTTTGTTATAGACAGAAAAACACACACCATAAACTACCTCTCTCGCCACGCAGAACCCTACACCAAGATAATACATTCGAGAGTAGGAGAATGGGGTTTGTATTTATGTCTTTTTTTCAAAGTTGCTGGAGAATAAGACCTGTTTTTCTAACCTTCTCCCTGACCTTATATATTAAGGTAATATACCCTACTCCTGAAATAGTTGATCACCAGATGTATTAACTATTCTATCTAGCTTCAATCACCAGTGGGATCCCACGACATATGGGCAACGGTGAGATCGTATCTTGTTGTTGATCACGTTACATAGACAGGCATCTGACGAGGCTTATAGCGTGTTCTAACCATTTCACCGCTTGGACGTCTGTTAATACACCAGGTAACCTTCTCTAGACCTTTTAACTGGAAATTATGCAGGATTCGATTTCAAAGGTATGTCGATTTGTTTTAAAGCTGTAAACTATTTTTTCTCTTCTTGACGTTTTGTACAACACAGCGCGTGGAACATGAGCAGATAAAGATATGAAATATGTATGTATTTATATTAAGAAGTCCTTAAGGGTTAAGATTGAATACAATCATATATCCCTTTGAAGTCTTCTTTGTGTATTTAACCTA